GTGTTCTGCACCGCGGGGGGTGAGGGTGGAGAATTTTTTTTTTTTTTTTTTTTTTAAATCCTGCTTTCTGAATCTCTCATTGAAACACTCGAGTTTAATGGTGTCACACCATAGCATGCAAGACTGGAGCTCTTGCATGTGGGGTTGTGAAGGGGCTCCTCTCAAAAGTCAATGAGGGGAATTTATCAAAACTAGAGCAGTTGCCTATGGCAAACAATCAGCTTCTATTACTTTCAAAAATGCAGAGAAGCTGATTGGACCCCCCCCCCACCTTTTTCAATTGTTTATTTTGCTGCATTTGAAAATACAGATGCACTCGTGTGTGCCACTGGCTGTCCTGTGGTGGCGTGCCGGGTGATAGACCTGCGTGGTGGATGTTAGACCTGTGAAAATCATAACAGCCTTTTGTCACCACTGTCTTTGTTTTTGGATGTTTGTGTTGAGTCCATGGTTTTGTTTGGTTGCTTTAATATTGAGATCAGAGTTGCACATAGCAGTTATTGTGTGTATGAAATTTTGTTTAAAGTCTGGTCCAAAATCTTTTAGTTTACTAATTTGTATTGAGATTGTAGTGACTACTTTACAACACAGTGGGCCATGGGGAACAAAAGTAGCCCCCCTCCAGAAGGAAGGGCAATGTCGGCACTCTGCTAAAATGAATGGATTAGATGATCTGTATGTAGCCCTATACTAGGGATCATATAATCCATTCATGTTAGAGCATAATTGTAAATGTACTGTTGCAGTGCACTCAATATGTACATGTACTATATACTGCATATAGAATGCACTGCAACAATACATTTACAATTATCCCCTGCTAATATGAATGGGTTCAATGATCCGTAGTGCATGATATGTAGCCCTGTACTACGGATCATTTACCCATTCATGTTAGCAGTGCAGAATTGTATATCCATTGCCGCACTGCATTCTATATGTACTGTACATAGTTACATAGTATTTGAGGTTGAATAAAGACATTAGTCCATCAAGTCCAACCTATTAGGATCTCATTCTAGGAGTACCTGTACCCCTGTATATTACGGTCCCTTAAGAAATCGTCCAAAAGTTTCTTGAACAATTCCACATTCTTTGCTGAAATCACTGTCTGTGGCAGTGAGTTCCAGACCCTAACTGATCTTACTGTGAAGAACCCCCTTCGCCCCTTGTGCTGGAATTTTTTTTCCACCAATTTTAGGTGGTGGCCTCTAGTTTTTGTAATGGAGTTAATTTTAAACAGTTTATCGCTAATGTTGCTGCCACCATTGTACATATACAGCACAAATGTCCCGTACACTGCAGCAATAGTTACAATGATACCCTGCTAACATGAATGGGTTAAATGATCCGTAGTACTACTACATGTTATGTACATATGTACTATAGATCATGTTTTAACCTATTCATGTTAGCAGGGGATAATTGTAACTCTATTACTGCAGTGTACTGGATGTATGTGCTGTATATGTATTATGGATCATGATTTAACCTATTCATATTAGCAGGGCAGAATTGCGAGCGCCTCCCACAAGCTGAGCACCGAGATGCGATGCAGCGATCCTGCCCAGCGCCGACTACAAGAGGCACCGCGTGAGGCAACAGGGATCGGAGTGAAACTGAGTGAGGGAAGCTGGGACGGGGCTGGCTGTAAATCTATTGCTATAGTGTACTGGACGTGTCTAATGTATATGTAGTGCATATATACAGCACACACCTCCACTACACTCCAGCAATAGAGTTACAATTATCCCCTGCTAACATGAATAGGTTAAAACATGATCTATAGTACATATGTACATAACATGTAGTTTTACTATGGATCATTTAAAGTCACCTGTCCCGTTTAAGAAAAAGTATCGACAAGTACATGAGGGGAAGTACTTGGGCCTGAAAAAGTGGCATCGGGACATCCCTGATTTAATAAGGTCCAGTTTTGTTAAAGGAGAACTATGAGGCGGGTGCTTTTCACTCACCTCATTAGTTCTAGCCGACCTGTGGCAATGAGACTGTCACAGGTCGGCTCAGTAGATCGGGAGGTGAGCGAACACATACCGGCGTTCGCTCACCTCTCGATCCTGTCGCAGCTCTCTGCCATGACAGGGGAGGGGCTGGATTTCCCCCTCCCCGATCCTCCAGGGCTGACTGGCGGAACGGACGGGGCAAGTACGGCTGGCTCTGCCTCTATGTAGAGGCAGATCCAGACATAATTGTCGGGATCCGCTTCAGCTGCAGCGTCTCAGTATATCGTGACCTGTAGCTGCGGTATACTGAGCTTAGGGTGACGGGAGGACGCTAGTTTGTGTCCTCCCGTTACCCTAAGGAGAACTATGGGGAAAAGACAACCCCATAGTTCTCCTTTAATAGAGAAGGCAATTGAGCTTTACCAATGATGCTGCCACTCATTTATAACCTGTTGGGGATTGACCACCTCCCCTGGTATCCTGAACAATGTTTTCTTTCACCTGAGACTCTGCTGCATGTGATGGCATTACAAGTCCCTGCTGTGGGGTCGTCTTTATGTATAATATGACAGCAGCTGACTCTTGTATTTGGTTATTGATGTGGTGCCAAGTAATTGCTCCAAAAGATTTGAATTGCAAGCTTTCCCATAACGTCTTCCAGGACAGCATCACGGGATGGAATCTCCTCCCCCACACACAGGAAACACGTCACTTAATCTGTTTAAAACACCCTCCTCTCCTCCACTCCCTCAGTCTTTTGTGTTTCCTCAGTCAAGCTGGGGAGCGCGTCACAGAACGCTGAGAGGGGCTTCCATGTGGTGATGCTGCCCGGGAAGTCTTCCTTCTATGTATGGCCTGCCGGTGTAAGGCAGAGGGGTAGGTTTGCCTACCATGTGTGAGCCCCAGGGATTCTCCTAGCGCTGCAGGAGATGAGGCTGGCTTCCTTTCCCCCTTCAGTGCCCAGTGCGGGCCAGTACCGGGAGGACGAAACCCCCTTGGCTGGTCAGGGGAAACGGTGGACCGCCGTTCAGAGGGGTCTGTCCGGTTCTCAGGGCCTCGGGACGTGTTCCACGGCCAGGCCGTGTGGCCGCGTACATCACTTCCGGCACGGGTGATGTCATTTCCGGGCGACGGGCTTGTGCGTTCCAAGCCTCGTTTTCGGCGCAGGAGGAAGGGGAGGGCTCGGCTGGTGCTTAATACAGCGTGGATCTCAGTAGTGACTGAGAGGAAACGCTGGCAGGCTTCTCTTCAACAGGCTCTGCGGACATGGATCCTGGGTTACCTCTGCAGCTTGCAGTGACTGCGGATACCGGTCTTCCAAGCACCAGCACGGCTCAGGTGTGGAAGATGTGTACTATCTTACCTCCCTGCTTGAAATGCTTTCTTACTTTGCCAGGCACTCTGTTATCATGGCTGGTATCACAGTTGAAGTTACCGGATAACGTTTGTATTTGCTGCGCTGTACAAAGCTTTCTTTAAAGTGAATGTAAAGGCAAAACTTTCTTTAGTTTTGAATAGAGGGGAGGGTTTAGACCAGGGGTGCGCAACTCTGGCCCTCCAGCTGTTGTGGAAACTGAGTCCCAGGAGGCATTGCAAGACTGACATTATTATTATGCAGGATTTATATGGCGCCAACAGTTTGTGCAGCACTTTACAATATAAGGAAGACATTAGTCACAATACAAATCAAGACAAGATGGTAAGGAGGGCCCTGCCCCTGAGGGCTTACAATACAGGCATGACTCCCAGAGGCATGTTGATTTTGTAGTTCAAGCACAGCTAAAGGGCTGCAGTTGCCCACCTCTGGGTTTAACATGCATTTATTGCATTATGTCCCCAGTGGGGAGATCTACTCTGCTTTTGTCCTGGGGACCAATGTCAGGAAATGGAAAACCTGTATGTTAGAGTTGTCATGAGCAAGAAGTGAAGGGGATGCCATCAATGGGGGGCTTATGTTCTGATAACAGTTGACTAAGAGGGGATTTCCTTTCACTCTGCAGAAATTGGTTGGTGGCATCACCAAGACAGGAAGTGAAGGGAAATCTTCTCGGCAGGGAAAATAACATGAGGAGTTTTAACTTTTCCTACACTATACGTTTTTACAATACATACCATCCTCTATGCTTTTTGCATTCTATTCAGTGACTTTTCTAGAGGGAAATAATTCTGTAAATTTTCAGTGGCTGAAGAAATTCATTGCTGTAATATATAACGTTTAGGGCCCATTCACACAACATCCAGATCATCTCCAGACCAGATTGTTTCTGGATCCTAATTTATCCGTATGCGATTTCTGGTCTCTGTTCACACCAGCGCAGTCATTTCCACACCAGAAAAATAATGCATGTGTCATTTTGTCTGGTTTACAATGCACTGTAACCCAAGGTAGGTTCCAAGTGCATTTCAGACCAGACAAAATGAGACGTGCGGTATTTTTCTGGTCTGGAGCGGACTGCTCTGGTGTGAACAGAGGCCAGGAATAGCATAGAGATGCATTTTGGGCCCTGGCACCAACCTCCTGTATAACTGGTATGGATCCCGTCTGTTGCACTGATAGCAGACCAGCACGGGCCCTGGAGCCCTAAGGAGCTGTTGCTCGTAGTAACCAAATAGATTTTAACTTCTATAGGAAAATGTCAAATCAGACTGCTTTTTGCTGCCTTTGCAGAGTAACCCTTTGAGTGATGCTTTCCTCTGCAGATGTTGTGGTTTTGCAAATCCCAGCTGATGTTTTATAGTAAGGAGTAATATTTTTCATATCTACACTTGGTAAAGATTAGTTTAGCATCTTAAGATTTCATGCAAGTATTCCAAACCATTATTTTGGGGGAAATAAATGTTATCAAAAGTGGGGTTTTTTTAAATATTATATTTAATATTCATTTTGTTAATGTGGCAATGATGAGTCGCGCAGGGGTACGGACCTCGGCTGCATAATGGGAGCCGAATGCAGATCCAGATTTTCCAGGATTTGTCAACATGTGGTTGGCTGCTTGGAACTGGCCTGCATGAAACTGTCGCCAGACTGAGCCACATCTGCACCATTCAGGGCCCTGCAGCGATTTTAGACTATTAGACTTTCTACTTTGCATTGCTGATTGGTATAAAATAAGGAAGGTCTCGTTCTGATTGATTTTTCAAAGCGCAGTGCCTAGCTCGTATAATTTTTAAGTTGGACCACGTACCTTAATTATGCTTTACAAAAGAACACACCAATTCACTTGATTCTTGGGAAAACATGAACTGTTGATAATTGCAGATTCCTTGAATTGCTGGAATTCAGTTACTGGGCAAGCTTCTGAAATGAATGTTGTCCTTTTGTGTTTAGCATGTGCAACTGTTTACTACACTTGTGTTTTGATATGTCCTATACCAGGCAATTGTTCACATCTTCGAATTCCATGAACGTGTGCAAACACTGCGAAAGTGTGCATGTTCACAAACGCACACTAAACATGGAATGTGCGTGCAGTGCCATTACTAGTTACTGGCGCAGTGTTTTCCCATGTGCGTGCACACTAATGCATGTGAAATTGCCCTGCATTTGGCATGCATCCAGGGACCTAATGGGGGTCAATGGAAACATGCACCAAATACAGGAGACAAGCGACCGGGGACGTGCATCACCACAACTCCTGGGTATGAATTGGGGACTAACACAGCTTAGTCTGTGCTAAAATTCCATTGAGTATAGTCGGCCCTGCCTGCTGGGCTACAGAACTTCATCTATCACCCTGTCCATTCCTGTTACTTTCTAGAAAGTGTGATGGTTTGCATGTGTATATGTGAAGATGATTTTGCTTAGAGTCCTGGTACTTCAGCAGACTTGTAACATTGACAGTCTAGCCACAGGTTGCAATCTTTGTCCAATCTTGGTCTTGCCAACAATGTATTTTTAGGGGTGTACCACCATCTAGTCAATGGTGACTTTGCAGCCAAATTCTAATATGTGGATGCTTTTCGTATTGTTAAATTTGATAGACGTTGAGCATTAATTTTCAATCTGAGCAACTAAAATGTCTATTTTGTTTACAGCTGTCATTAATTGTCCAGTGTGTAAGAATCAGTGCTTACAGAGGGACCTAGTGGACAACTACTTCCTTAGGGAGGATTCATCATCTGATCAAGCAGCAGAAACTATTCAGGTAAGACTATTCAAGATTTAGTTTAAGTTTTTTTGAAAAAACAAGTGCAGTGTTAGTGACAAGGGAGGCTTTTACTTTGTGTAATTATTTTAGGTTTGCTGTGTCCCTCAATTAATACAATGTGGAAGTATAATCCTTCTCCCTAGGTGAATGGACTTTAGAGTAGAACTCCAGCAAAAAATATTTTCTGTATTTGTGCCCCATCTCTGCCCACAGCAGCGCTGAACATTTGACTTCAGTACACTGATCTGAGTTGCTCACTGTACCACCATTCAGAAAAGGCCTTGCATGACTCAATGAACGCAAGGAGTTCTGTGATTGGAGGAGGTGAGATGGCATTTATCCACATTTTTCTCCAATCTCAGAACTTGCATTCATTGAAAAAGAGTGCAATATTTTGTTTTTTAATCTGAATGGAAGAAGGCGTGTTACAAATGACTTGCTGCAAGGCTTGTACTGCAACTGGAAGTTGAAGTCTCTGTGCTGGACATTCGGTACTGACAGGATGGTGCAGGCTCAATGAACCTTGGAGCAAATGCTGCAGGAGGCAGACATATGGCACACTTCATTGTAAATATAAAGGGTTTCAGCTTTAAGCAAAAATGCATTGCTTTGACCGGTCTGTGGTTTTCATTTAAAAACATCATCTGCGTTAGAGCTCAGCAACCTTTTACATCACTTTTGTTTAATTTGAGATCATTTTTTCTCTGTGTAATGCAGAGGTGCACCAGCTGTGAGGACAATGCCATAGCTAATAGTTACTGTGTGGAGTGCACAGAATGGCTTTGCGAGACTTGTGTGGAAGCCCATCAGCGAGTCAAGTATACCAAGGATCATACTGTCAAAGTCAAAGGTAACCAATATACTTTTGGTTGTTCGTTGTTTTGTTTTTTTTCCCTGAACCATGAGATGGAATATGGGTTCCCAGTGTAGCTTTTCTTCCCAAATTTTAAAGTGGAATTTTAACCCCTGCACTAGGCAGTTATTCATTGGCATCAGAATAAGGTCCTGTGAGATTCATGCTGCTTAGTCACAATGCCTTCCTCTTTACTCGGCACTCTGTGCGCACACAAAAAGCAGCAGACAGGCCATTGGTCCACGCAGAGGATGGTGGTGGTGAATTCATAGTCTTTTATATAAAGCTGAACACTTGCATAGTGCACATTCACCTCAGTCCCCTTACTCGAGGAGTTTACAATCTAAGGAGAATATATTCTCACAAGAGATTTCTGAACGATCGCTGCATGTTTTTCTGACTGGAATGGCCTTTTGCAGCAGTGCCAATATCCTCTTGGTGAAATGGCCTTTATCAGATTTCAGGTAGCGAGTAGTTCTGGCCAAGATGAGCTCTTCGGCACTAAAACAAGTCAGTGACCCGGGGGCATGTCCAATATCACTAGAGAAGATCGGTTTTATTCAAGTTGAGTTTTTTTTTTATGTCTTTAGTCTAAGTATCAAACTTTTTTTTTTGCTTGTTAGGTGGATCCCAAAAGGATTCGGAACATACTGTATTCTGTCCAGTACATAAGCAGGAGCCTCTCATGCTGTTTTGTGATACTTGTGACACATTGACCTGCCGTGATTGCCAGCTACAAGGACACAAAGACCACCAGTAAGTTTTAATTTTTGCTTCATCTGCACTATTAAATGACAAGTTCATTTTCTGTTTAACTTAGTGTGTACTTGTCCCTCCCGGCATGATGTGTTAACAATAGTGACAAGCCACGGTTCCAGTAACATTGCTTGCATTTCAGGCACCTGTGTTCATATCCTGCTTTGCTTTGAACAGGTTGTCCCTGGGTAGTTTCCGGGGTGGGGATGCTATGACCAATGCTGTTCTGCTTGAATTGGAATGTATCATTTTGGTATTGGCATAATTTCAGTTGGAAATGAGTTGGAGGGACAAGCACCTATGCCTATTCTAAAAATGAACTTCAAAACTGTTTTAAATTTTCCAGGTACCAATTTTTGGAGGATGCTGTCAAAAACCAGCGTAAAATCTTATCTGCTCTTGTGAAAAGACTTGGAGAAAAACATACTACACTTCAGAAATCTACCAAGGATGTTCGTAACTCGTAAGTACTTTTAGAAGCTGCGGGTTTCTCTTTAAATTCCATAGATGATCCAATAGAATTCCTAGATTTGAATCCTGAGGAAAGGGGCAGTACAAGTCACCTGGGGGGGAAACATGCAAGAATTTGCAGGGTCTGGCATCCCATAAAAGCCATTCAAATCTTGCATATGCCCTTTTGGATTACACCTTCTGTACCTCTTGGCAAGGAAACCATTTTTGTTATCTTTACCCTCTATTTGTCAAGTGTTTCTGACTCTCGTGTGTTTAATAGATCTGTTCCCATACCTTCTGTGTGAAGAAAAGTCCTAGATAATGGCTCAAGCCTTCTCTTTTCCCCCTACAAAATGATATACATTTCTTCATATTCATCCATTTCTTACAGGTATTTATATAGCACCAACAATTTTCACAGCACTTAGTGCACATTCACATCAGTCCCTGCCCTCGAGGAGCTTGAAAACTAAGGTCTCTATTTCACATGCATACATACACGGCCGATTTAGACAGAAGCCAATTAACCTTCCAGCATGTCTTTGGCATGTGAAAAGAAACCAGCGAACCCATGCAAGCACAGGGAGGACATGCAAACTCATTGCTCTCCATGCCCGAGCTTCCTTAGTACTAGAGGTGTGGGCATTAAGTGACTTTGTTCCTATCAGTTACACTGGGAACTAATCTAAGGAATGTTGGCTTGCAGAATTCGTCAAGTGATTGATATGCAGAAGAGGCTTCAAGTAGATGTGAAAATGGCCATCTTACAAATCATGAAAGAGCTGAACAAGCGTGGAAAGCTACTTGTCAGCGATATGCAGGTTTGTCATGTAATGCATTCATATGTCTATCAATTTATCGGTATGTTTTAAACATTCTGACGTGCTCATTCACTTAGAAGCTCTTTGCAGTCAACACTCTGTAGTTTGCTATGGTTTCATATGCTTATATTTTACCTTTTCTTGTACCTCCTGCTCCCATATATATGATAATCAAAGCTTTAAATTCTTTTCGTTTCATGACATACTTGTTTTGGACCCAGTGATGTCTTCACTGGGGCTCCATACTTCCCATGCATCGCAGGTAGATTGTGTCTGGTGGGAAAGAACAAGCAGGGTGTTGTACATGGCTCCTTGAAATCCTCCCGGCATCCTGTCGGTACTCCTCAAAAACCCTTAGCCCTGATGCAAGCAGTGTGCTGGCTCTTGGGGGGACTTGGTCAAATATTAAAATGCCTTGATGGGTAGATGTCGGTCTGAAAAAGTGGGCGTTCTAGGCAAACTGTATTTGCATGCAGACTGCCCTAGGTAAAAGCTATGTGTGATGCTGGGTGTCCATGATTGAAAGCACTGAAATTCAATGAATGGAAAGCAAGTATTCCAAACCATTATTTTGGGGGGAATAAATGTATAACAAGTGTTTTTTTAAAAAAATATATATTCATTGATATTTATTTTGTTAATGTGGCAATGATGAGTCGCGCAGGGGTACGGACCTCGGCTGCATAATGGGAGCCGAATGCAGATCCAGATTTTCCAGGATTTGTCAACATGTGGTTGGCTGCTTGGAACTGGCCTGCATGAAACTGTCGCCAGACTGAGCCACATCTGCACCATTCAGGGCCCTGCAGCGATTTTAGACTATTAGACTTTCTACTTTGCATTGCTGATTGGTATAAAATAAGGAAGGTCTCGTTCTGATTTTTTCAAAGCGCAGTGCCTAGCTCGTATAATTTTTAAGTTGGACCACGTACCTTAATTATGCTTTACAAAAGAACACACCAATTCACTTGATTCTTGGGAAAACATGAACTGTTGATAATTGCAGATTCCTTGAATTGCTGGAATTCAGTTACTGGGCAAGCTTCTGAAATGAATGTTGTCCTTTTGTGTTTAGCATGTGCAACTGTTTACTACACTTGTGTTGTGATATGTCCTATACCAGGCAATTGTTTACATCTTCGCATTCCATGAACGTGTGCAAACACTGCGAAAGTGTGCATGTTCACAAACGCACACTAAACATGGAATGTGCGTGCAGTGCCATTACTAGTTACTGGCACAGCAAGCGCAGTATTTTCCCATGTGCGTGCACACTAATGCATGTGAAATTGCCCTGCATTTGGCATGCATCCAGGGACCTAATGGGGTTCAAATGGGTCGGGGTTCTATCTGACTTTCTGCATCTTCTAATGGTGGTTGTGAGACGCTGACGGCAGGGAAGTCAGCTTAGGCAATTTCAGTCCAGGAGAAAGAGTCCGCAACTTTGATCTTTGTGTATACTTGAGTTGGTTTGCAATTGTCG